GTAATGATAGCATTGACACATATTTCTGAACATTTTGTAATATTTTTGTTGGTTAAGCGTAAGTAAGTATAGAAAGAACAAAATATCGATTGCGAATCATCTATCGGCCGATCGATTTGCCTTAGTTACTTCGGCGAATCTTCATTTCATCACTTTTTCCTTTCACTCGCAGACAAATATTTAATTGTATTTTAATAAAATTGAGAAGTACTATAAAATAATGGTAACAGAAAAGTTTGTATTTCATATATTTTTTAAGTGTTTAATAAAAATGTGTTGCATTAGTGATTCATTTATAATAGATCTACAAGAGAATTTTGTCGATTTCTTTAAAAATATTATTGCATTTGCAATATATTAGATATATGCGACTGTAATAATATGATAACAACATAAATAAAGTAATATGGACATTATAATCAATATTATTAACATTATTAACATTATTGATAAAAATAAGATTTATCAAAATCGCGTATATTTTCTTCTCATTTCATCGATAATATACTGTAACTGAAATAAATTAATATTATATGATTGTATTTATTATCTAAATTGAGATGACCATAAGAACTCTTATCATATTCAATCATTATTCGTTATAAAAAGTATCGTTACAAATTGTTTTAAGGTTAATATCGTTAAGAATGAACATTAACATATAAATTAATATTTACAACTATCTCAAACCTATGTGATTATTCATTAAATTTAATGCATCTGCATCACCAATATATTACAACAACAGATAATTCTCGAGTATACAAATATATTACTTTTTTTTCAATTCGAGTTAATATAATGGACATCATGAATGAAGTATTTGGCAAAATTAATAACAATATACTGTACATGAAAAGTCTGTATATGTCCTTAATGTACCTTCGACTGTTTGCGTTAAAATCATAATACAGAAATTAAAGCCAACCATATATAAATTAAGATTTTCTTAATTAAATTAATTATAAAAACATTCAGATTAGATCTCAATTGCTACTAAAGAATTTTAAGAAGGATTTTAAAACGTAAAACTACTATTATAGTATGAAACTACTCGAAATAATTAATAATATTTTAGTAAATTATATTTTTTAAGAATTGTGATTGTCTTGTATAATCTCAGATTATATATCATAGACTACAAGTGTCAATAAACAATACAACCCGTAGAGAAAAAACGAATAAATTCAGAAATTTTAAACAAATGTTTGACAACATTTTCATAGTAAAAATATTAGATTCAATTAATTTAGTGTCTCAAAATTTTATTAGCCGAGAAAAAATTAATAATTAAAAGAAGATTAAAAATTAAAATTTAAGTAAATCAGAAAATTTTACATTTGCATAAGTTATTGAATTATTAATATCTGTAAGTTTACAAATAAATTTTTAATATAAAATTAACTATTACATTGTTGTTTTAAAAATATATTCTTTCCCAAATTAGTATTTTTCTAAATAAAAATTGTTTTGCAAAACAATACGAGCGATGACTACTACATATACGTAAGAGAGAGAGAGAGAGAGAGAGAGAGAGAGAGAGAGAGAGAAACATATTGAAAGATTAATAGAATATGTTTCACTTTTAATAAGAAAGATATTTTCACAATATGATTTTATAAATTTATATATATATAAGTAGTAAGTTTATAAAAATTATATTTATAAGATAAGAAAATCATTAATACATCCTATTTTGTAATTGATAATAGACAATAGGCATGTGTCTAAGTAACATATTTAGAAAGAAAATTGTATTATATAATTAAAATCGTGCATATACATTTCATGTAAAAATTTATAGAAATAACTAATCATTAAAAATATGAATCATTGACTTAAAAAAGAAAAAGAAAAGAAAAAAAAGAAACAGATCATAAAAGTTCTTAAGTGCATTTTTCAGATTTTCCCTTCCGTTTTCTCTCTTGGTAAAGAGACCCTACAAAATATCTATAAAGACTTGGCGCATATTCTCCTTAGACAACTCGAGATCACAACAATCCTTAAATGTTTATAATAAGATATTCGTGGCGCATCCTTAGCCAGATTAGATAAGCTTCGCGTTAGGCATCTCCAAATTACTCTCCAAGAATTATGAGGCGCAAAATATAACTTTAGAGACCCATAGTGCGTGCGTGCGTGAGTGTGCGTGCGTGTGTCTGCGTGTGAATGCTTTTCTCGCACTTCCATCTATACGCTCCCCAATCCTTATGCTTACGTTTGCTTCCGAGTGTGCGAAATAATTAAGCAGAGATGTCTGCTTTCTCCGAGACAAGTACATCACGAAGGAGTATAAAGAAACTCGAATGCCTACCCTAACAACTCAAGTACTTTTAAGTGAAATAATATGTCGCCTGTATGCGTTTATTAGAGGATTTTCCAATATTCCAATCGTCTGTCTTCCAACATAATTAATTTTTGAAATAGCTATTTCCTTCCACTCCTAAGCTTGGATTAAAATACACCAACTCAACTCTTATTCATTATTTTGATTTTCATTAATTATAAAGAAATTCGTAACATACTATATCAGTGTTATGAGCAACTTATTTAAAATCTTTGATGCATGCAAGAAAAATTATACAATATTCAGAAAAACATTCGCTCCAATTGAAAAATAAAAAACAACTATTGTAACGTAAAACTGCTAGTGTATGAAACTCCATGAAGTAATTAATAATATTTTAGTAAATTATATTTGAACATTACAATTCACTATGTGAATGTAACTGTTTAATAGGGTTATATTAAAAGAGCATTTTTTTCCTCGAATATGATAAACAATTTATAAATCAAACTTTTATAATTAGATATTTAAACAATCATAATAAAAGTTTTAGAACAATATCTGCAAAAAACATATTAAACTTGAAGTACCGTATTTGTCATTATTGCGCGTAATTATTATTTATATTTTAATTGATAAAAATTGTTTTGAATTTGTTTTATATTAAAGAATGTATAAATATATATATATATTATTTTAATAGAATTTCAATTATTATTAAATACATATTTACTAGTATTGCAATAATTTCAATTTCAATTATCTAGCCGAAATAATTTATTATCAATAATATAGTCGAGATAGTTTGTATTTTGTGATGATTGAAAATCCACCTTCAAAAAAATTAGTAAGAAAATATTTCCTTTAAAAATATCGATAAACATTCGTCTGTTTTATTTAAAAAATTTCGCATTTTAAACATTAAGTACAATAGTACGTAATGCATTTTTATAATAATATCATGAATATAATGTTAGTAAATGAATATAATGTGAGTAACGAAATTAACAATAATATCAACGAACTTGTTTATATAAATCCGTAATTACATAAGTTGAGGAGAGCCTAAGACCAATAATATATCAATACGAAGAAACAAATTCATTCTAATAAGATTAATCACAAACTTTCGAACATCCAAATAAAAACAGCGGTTAAATGAGTTTGCCAAGAAAAAGAGAAAAATGACAAAAGTAGGTACAAACATGTAGCGACAAAAGCTTAAGAAAGGAAGAAGAGATTACCGTGGGATACTTTTCGTTTGTAGCGCTACTTTCTATTCTCTCCTTCCCTCTCTCTTTCTGGTTCATCTGCTAGTTTCGTTACTCTTTCCTTTTATCTTGAAAACTCTCTTTCGACTAAATGTCCTCAACGTTTCTATTACTAGAATGACTCGTTCCGCAAAAGTCCACCAAATTTCTACATTTCTTTTTATCTAACAAATTGCGATGTTATTTTGTTGATATTTTTAAACGTAGATTTCACAATAATACCAATATTATTTAAATTAACAATGTTTTTTATGATTTTCAGATAATTTTTATTGCATTTTCTACATAAATAGCAGTGTACTATTGAAATTTAAAATTCTATTGAAAATGTTAATTTAAAAGTAAATTATTAATGAGATAATTATTAATAGAAACATTATTGCATGAGTTGAATTTTTGTTATCTTATTTTAGAATAGCCGATAATAAGATATTATTCGTTTATTAATATAGTTAATTAACTAAATAAATAAGCCGGCGAACATAAATTTTCACTAAAAAATATACACACTTTAAAAATAAAGTAATTAATTATGTATAATCAACTAAACCTTGCAACTGATTTAATTTCATTTATTTAAAAAAATTAACAAATTGAATATAATAGTGATTATATCGTTATTTTGAAAGATATCGTTAATATTTAATTTTATTCAATAATTTCATTTTAATTTTTTATAAATAATATTAGTTTTAAATAAAGAAGTAAGTGTATATATATATATATATAATTATATAGACCACTAATATAAAAAATATGTGCTAAAACTTATATTGATTAAATATAATTTTGTGATATGAATATATGAATTTTTTTTCTACATAAAATCTTAATATTCATTCGTACATGTAAATAATTTCAAAATTTCATTAGCTTACATCGCATAATAAAGTTATAAAAAATTTTTATATATATATATATATATGTTACAATTTGAGGCTGGTGAATGAAAGTGTGTAAATTTGTTCATCCATAATGTCATAATTATACTTTCAATTTATATAAATTAATAGAAATATATAAATTTTGTGTAACTTATATAGAAGAAAATATTGCGTATATTATTTTAAAATAATAAATTCATATACATTTATAAACTCATAAATTTATGTAAGCACACACATATATATATATATATATATATATATATATATATATATAAGTTAAAAAATGTGTCAGATATATAAAGATTAGATAAATATAGATTAAGAAGTTAAAAATGATCGTGTTATTACTCGGGCGTAGATGTATTACGGGAATTTCCAAGCGTATCGCGACGGCACAAATCACTACATTATTAAAGATACTCCATCCGTGAAAATTAATGTGACAATCCCTTATTTACCAACACTAATGCACGGGGCACCTATGCGCGTCCAAATAAATAAAAACTCACGCTCGCGCACCCACGCATTGTACATATATGTGTGTACAATTTTAAGCTGGTGCTGCACGAACGCAGACTGTCGACGGCCGCTTCCCGGACAATGGCTGCTATGAGTCTCGGTTTCATCGTCATGGTCACGCCGTGGACAATCCAGGAAGTGGTGGCTGCCTGCACCGGAAGCAAACCGCCCGCCTTCCTCGACTTCCTCGCCACTTGGCTCTCGCTCTCTAACAGCTTCTGGAATCCCTTCCTCTACTGGCTTCTCAACAACCATTTTCGCAGAATTTCTCGGGAGCTCCTCTTCACCAAGGTAAGCAATGAGTGCTCGACCATCTCTCGACCACTCCAATTTTCAGAGCAATCTTTACATAATTTAACCGAAGTGCAAAGATATGATAATTGCCCATAATTGTTCAGAAATCTACCCCTGACAAGAGCGGATCAAAGTTTATAATTACTCTTTGCGTTATTTACAAGCAACGCTTTTTTTTCTGTTTTTTTTTTTTTTTTTTTTTTTTTTTTTTTTTTTTTTTTTTAATGCTTTAAGGTTTAATGAAATTCAATGGAAGCTTGAAAGAAATAAATGAATAGTCTAACAAAATAGCTACTATTATATGAAATAAAACTATTCTAACGAACAAATTTCACCTAATCGCATGAACAAACTCATATTTTATCGTTTATTTTACATTTAAAGCCTAAGAATAGACATATTATTTTCATATTTTTGTATTTACAATTCAATATTTAATTTTTAATCGTTAATTTTTTGTTTATAATTTTTTAAAAATAGACATTAGTAATAATGGCATATTAACTAATATTTTAATAACAAGTAAATTAGTCTATACAACACATCTTTTAACAGATTATGTATAAAAAGAATATAAGTACAACTTAAAAAATGAAAATAACATCAATCCGCACTCTTTGTGAAAGAAAAGACTGTTAAGGTTTATCGATAATAAGATTTTTTCACTTGGCTTTTTCGTATACTCTCTCTCTCTCTCTCTCTCTCTCTCTCTCTCTCTCTCTATCTATCTATCTTCGATCTATCTATCTATCTATATCTCTCACTTACTCTATAGTCTCATATTTTTCGTTCCTCAATTTCTTCATCGACTATGCTACATTAAACAATAATTCTATAATTCACATTTTTCGCAGCAATATTTATTTATTGTTAGAGAAAATTTTCAGAGAGCTTATGTGTAATACTACTGATAAAATGCAAATATTGAATATCAATTTCACAATAACTATGAAATAGAAACTTCTTTTAATTAAAATAATTTTAAGAGAATGTATGCATTAAATATACCGCAAGTTAACCAATTAAAGTGGAATTCAAGGTATTCCATACTTGAAATTAAAATTAAAAGAAACTTTCTTACTTTAACATTATTTATATTAATTGTGATATAACATATAAACATTATGTTATTAGATAAAATATTTAGCTCGTTATAAAAATAGATTATAATGCGTTAATTAAAACTATTTTCGACAATATTTGTCTCATTTATATTTGATTTTCAATAAAACTTTGCAGATTCAACAAAAATAAAATATCTGTAAAAAATGAAATAGATAAATTTATAATATCTTCATTAGTATAATTTTATAATTTTAATTACTATAAGGTTATTTTAGAAATATTTACAAGTAATTTAATATAATTTCTTTATTTTAATTATAAATTAATTTTTTTTTAAATAGATGTTACTTTGCTTGTAAAGATCATTAGTATTTTTCAAAATAAGAATGACATAAATATCTATATTCAAAATATAAGCATAAGTGGTTTTTAGAAAAGGACAAGGCCCAAACACCCAAATCAGTACAATAAACAATTTTTTATTACCGAATGAATTAATATATAGGATGAAAGCAAGTTGATAATAGAATCGCACGTTAAAAAAGAAATTATTACGCAGATTAAAGCGCCAATTAAACGAATCTCGTGCTTTTCTTACGTGTACCTTGAAGAAAATTCGAAAATTCGATTCATCGTTTATATAAGGTCCCATGAATTTCCAATGACATTACGAACCACTGGAATAAAAAGCTTATCATGAAAATTGAATGCTCATTATAGGATAATTTACTTCAGATATGTTATAAGTAATTTTTTTATTTTATATAAACTTTATGATCTTACTCCATTCATTAATCCATAGTTATTCTGTATTTCTTAGTACTTTAAAAGGAGTACTTTCTTAGCTCAACGGTAAAATACTGTTGAAATAATTTTCATTCAAATAATACAACTTTTTCTCAACTAGAAAAACTAAAAAATTATATTAAAGCTTTCTTTAATTTCAAACTTAAGAAATAAAAGAAATGACTAATTATTACAATATTTTCTTGAATCTGACCTTCTTAAATTTGAAACTAATTACCAATAATAAAAAACGTAACATTTATGTTTAAGGAAAGCAATTTTTATTTATATTACGTAACAATTTATTAATTATGATGTAATACTCATTTTTATAATCTGCTATCGTAACAATGTCATTATATCATTTGCAATAAAAATTATCATTACTTATAGATTTTTATAATTATCAACGCTTAACTTTCACGTTGAAAGAAAAAAATATAAAACTATTTTTCTAAATTAGGGTGTCATAAATTCAATATAACTATAAATTATATCGAATTTAGTAAACGTATATTTAACGAAATTAAAAAAGTAAATCTCAGAATTGTAGATTTATTAACACGCTAAAGCAATGTCTGATTTTTATTTAAGCATAAAAAAAAACAATCTTTGACAATAAAATTAATTAGTTTTAATAGTCGCTTTAGCTAAAGTTAAACTTTAGCATTTTAGTATAAAACTGTATCAAAGTTTCGTTAATAATGGGTGACTTAATATCTATCATTAAGAAGACATAAAAAATGTTGTTTACTTTTTTGCATTGAAAGTAATTTAGATTCAATAAAAGAAAAAAAAATCAATAGAGTTAATTATCTCATGACGAAAAGTAGTTCTGATTGTTGAAAGCTAATTGTTAAATAAATGGTATTTAAGCTACACAATTATAGATATCATTTTAATTTATTATTTAACGTTACTTCATTATACATTATTAATGTTTATAAAAATTGATTATTTTTTTCTTAACAGATAGTTAGTTGGTTGTACGAATAATTTACGTGATTTATATTTAAATTGGAAATTTAATGAGGATTATAAAATTTAATGACAATTGTCATAGAATATAAGATTGCACTTTTTGATAAAAATATATCATGAACTAATAATTTGTATTACCATAAAATTATTCTTTTGATTTTTTTTTTTTTTTTTTTTTTTTTTTTTTTTTTTTTTTTACATATTTTAACCAAATATTCCAGTACAAAAATGCTAATAGCGAAATTGTAACGCATTAATATAATGAGAGAATTTAATTAGTTTTATAATTAAATAATTCATGAAAATTGTATACATTAGAAATAATTTGTTAAAAATATTAACTTATTAATATAATAATTATGGCTTTGTAATTAAGCAAAAACATTTGAAAGCTGCAAACATTGGGAATAATATTTTAAATGAACGTCGTTTATATAAAATCATAATTTTATAATTGTAATTATCAGGATTTGGTTGCTCCTTTTATGATAATATTTTGATTCATTATTTAATTAAAATTTGTCCAAATTAGAAGGGGTTTTAATAACATTTTAAAACTGTGAAAATTATATTATAGTTACATTTAAGTTTTAATATTACCGCGGTTACTTTCAATAATTGGTCACATGTAATTTAGATAAAAATTTTACGTAAAATCTAACTGATGCCAGGAATCAATGAATTATGGAAAAGTAATAGCCGAGGTAAGGTAAATTATATTTTCATTATTGTAATAAGAATAAACGTCTAATTAATTGCATAATGCTAAGGATCACGGAAATTCGAGTGGTATTTACCATTGGAATAGAAAAAAAAGTTGTAAAATTAAGATGACGATTCATTCGGAATGAGTGCTTTTTCATTATTGTAGAAAACTACTGGTGGTTAGAAAAATATATATGGAATACTGAGATAAAGGGAGAAGCGATCGATTTAGTTAGATTATTAACGCATAAAAGATTGTGATATAAGTAAATTTAATGGAGAAGCAAGATTTTATACACCGATAAATATAAGTGACCGGGAGCGCATAATTTATTTGATAATTACAGTTTTGTTTTAGCTACCTTTATTTATACATTTTCGACGAATGAACGTCATAATCATTTCTACTTGATAAAGAAGTTCTAAAGTACGACGGTGATGGGGGGTGGTGTGTGTGTGTGTGTGGGGGGGGGGGGCTTGCTGAAGCTAGAATATAATTAAAATTAATCATCTAGTTTTAATAGCACCAGTCGATTAATAAAATAACGACGATCGCTTAAAAATCTATAACAGCAAATCACGGATATAGTTTTTTTTTTTATTTATGGAATAAAAATACTTCGTTATTTATTTCATGATCGTATAATTGAAGTAATAACGAGCGTGCATGTGTGCGTGTATTTTGAGCGTAAATATTTATTGCATTGTAATGAAAATTTGAACGGTAGTTTTAAATTAATTATCTATTTATTAATATTCGAATTAATTAAAATATTTTTATTTTATAACAGTTTTATTCGCTCAATTTATATAACATTGATAATAGTTTATGCGTATCTATGCACTCATATAAAAAATTTCTTCAATGTACTAGCGTTTATAGTTATAGATTTATAGTTAATTTACTGAAATGTTTTATTCCATTAAGGATAATATGCAAATGCATAAATACATTGTTAATTATTATTCATATGTATGTAAATTATATAAATTTTTCAAAAATTATTAATTAAATCCTGATAGATTTTATTTATCCATTGAAAATTAGTATTTTAACGTTGCTTATGTTTATTATCTATAATCTATAAGCTAATTTAAATCTATGAAAACTTAGAACATTTATTCATTTATGTTTAGAAAAATTAATGTCAAGGCTTTTCAACTTCCAACAAATAATTTATTCTCAACAAAGTTATCGATATAATTTTAATTGTTAATTATTAATCGTAGTGCAATGCAATACTTTTCGAAAGTTAGATATTTATTTAATATATTGCACATTTGATACCCTGTGTTTGTGAATAAACTATCCTATAATACTTGATTTACATAAAATAATATAACCGATGAATTATTAATGATACCAAAGTGAAATTCGAATTAATTAAGTGATAATCAAAGATGTTAAAGTCACGCTTCAATTTAACTTATGAAGTTATTTTACAATCGATGATGATAATATGGTCTGACGATAATTCATCCGAAGTACTAATTACAATGACCAAAAATATTTTAATAATTATAACGTACGTAGTATTAATGGCGTGACGAAAATTTTTAACAACAACGAAAATACATTTCAAGCTCAATTATAGTACATAGCATTTTGAAATTTAATTTATATAATTAATTCGTATATTAATTTACGAACTCTTTTAATTTTACAATAAATCCAAAGATATTCCTAATATCAAAGAATATTAATTTATTAATATTCTTATACGTTTTAATATATTTAAACTTGTCTTGGCAGATTTTATGCAGACCAAAGCCAATGAGACCGAAGCAACATTGTTGCGCCACAAGTACTGGTGCTTTAGATGTGTGCAACATTGGCGGCTTAGATTTATCAGGTATGATAACAACCAAAATAGTAAGATAAATTACATAATATAACCGAATAACTAAAGTTACTGAATTTACAAAATTGACTTAAACAAAGATATACATCTTCTATTGAGCAATAATTTTATTGCCAAAAATGGACAAAAACTGAATTAAATATATAACGATAATTCATGTGTTATTAACAATTAAATTGCTAATGAATAATAGTAGTATACGAGCGTATGTGAGCGTGACATATAATCACATGAATAATTTAATAAAGTCGTGTACATCCTAGATCGGCTTACTGGACTCGGCAATAACACTACGATGCCCGAAAGTGTTAAGTGTTACAAAAGTAAGAGGATTCACTTAAGTACCGACCAGAGGAGCTCCTCATATTGCTTTCGGGAAACCTATTATACGTACACCAAGTGTAGTCGCATGGTAATTGTTTAGTCCCTCGGTCATATATGTAAATATATACACAAGCTCCAGTTTCCACAGTGGCAAAGGAAAAATTTGTTAAATCTTACGTTCATAATATGAATGAAATATTATTTGAAAACTCGAATTTAAGTTATTAATTATTTTTCTATACTCAATTATTATTATATAAATGTTGATTGTTTAAAGTGGCAAGCTTAAAGTGGCAACTCTTTAGGAGCGTCGATATAACTATACACAAGGAAAAATAATCCGCGCCTCTTAATTATATACACTGCTTATGATTATTATATTATTGTTATTATTATATTAATCGTTATTTCTCTTCGAATAATTATCGCATATTAGCCGAGGGAATGCCTACTTTTCCTTCGCTAGATCAACTCTTGAAATTTGCCCGAAGCATAAATAACAATGCGATTCGATCGATCGATGGTAGCTGATGCGATTAAATAGCGAATGCCACGGGAGGACTAATGTTTGCGCCCGTTCGATTGATCTCGCATGAATCCAACGTTTCGAGGTGAATTCACTTATGTCCAGGCCATCCCGGAGATTAATTAATTAACGGCTTTAGCCGCGAAGAATAGCTTTTGATTTTCATTCGCTCTTACGGAGGAAATGGATGATGAGCTTCTGAGCGAGGTAACTTTTATTATATCGACGCGTTAGGCTGTTGGAGTGATTTTCGAGTCATATGTCGATACTCGCTAAGCACTTGATAAATTTAAGGTAATTTATCATCAATGATAAAGAAAGCGATCTCATCATTAAGTCTCTTACGTCTATAATGTACAATTCCGCTCGCATATTAGTCGGACAGAAAATCTTATTATTGTTTTTTTTTTTTTAATTTGTATTCTATGCAATGAACTTTCTACGTTCATACGAGTTTCTTTAAGTGGTTTTATGTTTTTCCGACATAGGAAGAAAATATTAATCTTATGTCTTTCGATTCACCGTTTCATGAATTATCTATTAATTATCAATTTACTTCTATCGGAATATCGTTTTCATTACTTAATTTTGCGATAAAATAATAAAAAGAAAAACTCAAATATTTCCAGAACAAGCATACACAGTTATAAACAAATTATTAAATGTATGTGTATCATATATGTAATGTAAAGCATATTTGAATAAATATGTGCTGTAACAAAAAGTAGCCCACGACTTATAAATGGCCTGATTAATCTTGAATCTGAAATGTATAAGCTAATAAGAAGTATTTTTTAATTTGATAAATTAAAAAAATATTGTCGTGGTAATTAAGATATATGTATTTATCTTAAAAAAATAAAAAAATAACAACTATCCATACAATGCAAGTGTGATTTTACTTAATTAAAAAAAAAATATATATATATATATATACATATGTGCGTAAATACGATAATTTGAATAAAACATCTGTGAGATAGACAATAATAAACTAATTTTATATTTCTTAATTTCATAATTTAAATAATTTAATGATTTCAAGTACAACAAAATTATAATAAATTTTTTCAATTTATTTTCCAAGCGATTGTCTAAACAGTGTTTATTTACAGTCATTAGTGCGTAGGAAATCACTAGTGTTTATATAATTGTCAGACCTTGATTCGCCCTTACTAGATAAATGCAAATCATCGCGAATTTCACTAATGTCGGTGAATATGATGTCCACATTAGTCTATGTCATACCTAATCAATCATCTCAGAACAAAGGTCGTTAGTAAAATGATAAATAATGATAGTTCTCACGAATAAATGTAGTCTGTAGCAAAACTTCTTTTGGACACGCAAAATTGTCTACAGTTTTTTTTTCATAAATTACTCTATACCTTATCTACGTAAAATACTTATATCGAAAGAAAGAAAGATTACGAATAGATGATAAGATAATGAATGTATGGTTAAAAAAAAAAAATTTATATATATATATATATATATATGGAAACTGTTCTATAAATACGAAGGATTACTAAAAATTTCATCCAACTACTTATAAAACTAAATATTTGTACATTTTCTTCAACTAAAAGCCATCGTCCTTCGCCTCTTCCTTCTCATAAAGACGTAATAAAAGCCGTAGAAGCAAATCAAGGAAATAATAATCCTCGCTTATTGCAGAACTGGAACGCTACTCAATGGAGGGCTGCTCCCTGGCGCGCTGTTCGACCCTTTCACTCGCAACAACGCCACCGCTACCTTGGGAGATGACACCCGGTGGCGTGCTGATCACGTGAGGAAGGGACGCCGCCACGCAAACGGACGATCTTCCTGACTCGTTTGAAGACAACGTCAGTTAGTATAGCGTGGCGGCGGCGACGTCGGTGGCGTCGGTGATACCAGTGGCGTCGGTCGAGTCGGTGGAGTCGAGGGCGTCGGTGGCGTCGATGGAGTCGAGGGCGTCGACGGCGTCATCGGCGGCAGTGGCAGAGCAGCCGGACACAACCGCCTCGGAGATCCGAAGCAATCAGCCGATTGTCAGTCCACCACCGGCCACGCACCGACGACGAGGACGACGACGAGAACGACGACGACGTAGTAGGGAAGACGAGGTCGACACCTCGTACCGAGCGATCTGGCGCTCGCAAGATTCCCAGGTCCTTATGCTCATGTGGGGATACGCCGACTGTTTGGCCTTCCTCCTCGTAAGGAACAGCGTCTGCTACGCAGGCGTCTTTCAAAGGGGGAGGGATGCTGATTTGGCAACCCTCGAACGTCTGTAGTAATATTATTTCATCCGCGAGCCAAAATCAGTATTGCGTGCGCTTTTAACCCTTTCGGTCATACATGAGATCTTTGTTTAACTACGACGGTTAAACAAATTATGTCTCGTTACCTGCAATGGATTAATAATTTCCGCATTTTAGATAAGCAGGAAAACTAAAGTTTCTCCAATTAATTAACAATATCCTAATTTAATGCAATTCTAATGATGTTATTATAATTGCCATAATTAATTTTATAATTCAGTATTTATTAATCACAAGTATTAAAGAAGTATTTGCAGTAAATTTAGCCGATTTTAAGGAAAGACTAATCTTATATTGTACCAATAATTAAATTGTGCTTGTTGTATCGAATGCCTTTAAATGTGAAAATCTGATAGAAACATAAAAGAACTGAACTACTCTTAATTTATACACAATAATTTGTTATATTACGAATTTTCTATCTACATTAAACGTATACAATAATGCATAATTAATATAAAAATATTAAAACGTGCAAAAGTAGAATGCTATTAATAATTTATTTCCTTATTCAATTGTTAAGGAATGAAATACCACCTCGTTTACCTTTATAATATCTTTAAATCATTGTGATTATCATTTAGTTTTATATTAAACAAATTTGATTGAATTATTAAATTAATATGAGCGATTGTATATTGATACGTAAAAGGCATTGTATAAATAAGCATGAAAATTACGTCTAATGTAGTACAATATGAATTCAACTGCAAATTGAACATTTAAAAATTATATAACAAATTGGATAAATACTTTTGATGAAAAATATTTTAAGATACTGATTATAAATTAATATTTAAATTATAAACAATTTTTTTACTTGCCTTGTTTATGTTTAACACAATTATATTTCAACCTTTTTTACATGTATTTATTGCCTTACCTATTTCAAAAAAAAAAATTTTCCTTATCCATTAAATATATACATAAACATCGGGTCCTAAGTGCGGATATATATAAATGTATATTGATCTTTAATAAAATATATTATAATTCACACTTGTAAACAGTTCCTAATGCAGATTTTTAATTTCTTCTCTTGTTTATGCACATACAGTATAAAATATTGAAATATTAAAGTAAAAACTTTAAATTAAAACTTTGTATACGTTATATTTTACAATTTACTGCATTATAATAATTATGAATCAAACAATTTTGATACGATACAATCGAGTCGAGAGCATTGTTTGATTTTTGTTTACATCTTTTATTTTAATATAAAAGAGCAATTTAGTAAACAGAATATTTCTTAAAATAATAGCTTAAATTGATTATTTATCGTAATTATTGATTATTTTAAATAATATAATACAGTAATTGATAAATTGGGAAATTTTCTTAACATAACTTTACACGACTATTGTTCGAAAGCTAATGAAATATAATAAAAAGTCTTAAGCCATTAAATCAAATAAAATAAAAAAAAATTATTGTGTCTTCAATATCGAAATGCTAAAATAGTATAGTTTAACTAATAATGTAACTACCTTAATTAATAAAAATATACAACATTTAGAATTATTCGTTGGAATAAAAATTTGATTGTTTGAAAAGGAAAAAATGTATAAAGCTGATTTATCGAAGCTCAAAATTATCAAATTAAAATTACCAAAACAAAATATCACTTATATTCTTTCAACCGCTACATAATAAATGAAAAAAATACAAATAATAAACATAATTAAAATATAATAATAATTTTAGGCTTAGAAATTATCATAAAAACATAGGAATACTATACATATAGTGAGAATAAAATTTACTTAAAAAATATTTATCACAAATATTACAATCATTCAAATTATTACATAAAACTTGAATTTTTTATATTATTAATATCAAACACGTTTTATATTGAATTTAAAAAGCCATTGTATAAAGTCATTAACAGTTCACAAACAAAAATTTGCACAATTCTCCTTAACAAACTATAAAAATTCAAATACTTTTATAATTCAGCAATAAAATAGATAATATATAATAAGACGTAATAATTTATAGAAATTAGTCAAATGAATCATAAAAGTTTTCATTGGATCATATACATAGAATATTGTTTATAAGCATTGAAGCTTGTGTATAAAGAATCTCTAAAAATTAATTTAAACAGTTGATATAAATAAATAACTAACATATGAAAGAAATTAAAAAGAGACAATTTTATCCATAATATTATTACGAAATAATTTGTTTTATATAAGTCAGATTCATAATATTCATATAATTAATTTATATTAAAAAATCATGACTGAAGGGGTTAAAATTGTATTTGTTATTATTTTATATATTAAAAGTAAATAATTAAATTAAGTTAATAGAAATATAGTATTATTAAATTTTTCAACAGAATATGTTTAGATGTAACATTAAACTAGATAATAATGGTAAATCATTTTTTAAATATTGAAAATACTTTCATATTTCACAATATTCTACTATTAATCGTAAAATATTGACTAAAATAACGTATTTTATATTCGTAGATTTTGCATTCGTCTTGCATTTTCGTACACAGTAAAAATCAGGAATAAGTAGCGGTGGCGCTAATTTATTTAACAAATAAATATTTCTAAATGACTACTTACTAGTCAATCAAACAAAAACAAAAACAAAATAATAAAAAGAAAATAATTAAATAAAATCAAAAATTTTAAATAACAATTTGAAATTAGATTTAATATACTGTAACATACTTTATTAAACTGTAGTATTAAACTGCAGAAAAAATAAACGAAAAATTATATTTAACTTATTATGTATTATTATAAAAATTCAATATTAAAATTGCAACAAAATTAATGTTTAATCAATTTTTAATTCTTCCGGTTCATTATTTAATAAAATACAATTAAAAGTGTAACATATAAATCATTAGAAAACTGCAAATATTTGTTACAGATATAATTAAATAAAGAAAATAAAATTATTCGATTTGATTATATTGAAATAATTAGAAAGAAATCGTATAGTAGCAACTTTATTATTGCAGCCAAACGCTTAATTTACAAAATCTTTGATAAACAAAGTATATCAGAAATATTAAATAACCTGAAATAAGCTGAAATAACAATTTTGCTTTGTATTCCATATCGCATAAGTATATACTGTATTCAACATATTTTTCCTTATAATTTAACAAGTTCTGCATTGTAAAATATTAATCTGAATTTTGTTAAATCTAGTAGTTTTTACATGTGAAAATTTGAGAACTTTGTGTGGCTTCATAACTATTTATTTTACTATTGTTTTATTAAAATAAATTGTTTTAATTAATGTCTTTAACGCGAATAAAGGAAAATCTACGGCACTTCTTCAACATAAAATCCAAATGCGAATACTCGATACCAGAAAACAAGCTGGCCAATATGAAATAAATAACGTCAAAATAAAAAAATGTACAATAATAGAGATAGATTTGTATGATACATGATCGAAAAATAATAATGAAGTGGCAAATACTATGACAATGATCCAAATTTGCAATAAGAATTATTCATTTACATATGAAATTATAAACGATAACTAAATACACATAAACAAAAATGAGAACCGTTTACATATTTATACCATAATTAAGCTTATAATCATCCACATGATTCAAGTAATAATTCAAAACAATTGGCCAGCATATGTAATTAGTAAAGGATCGCAGCGTTATAAATATCGAAAGAATTTTAATGTTTATTATGTGATTTTATTTTGTAAAATACGTTTTACGTATTCCTGTTGATAATAATTTTATTTATATATTGTGAAATATTTTCCTTACTTATGATGATCGTAAAATTACAAAAATGCTTATTAAATTTAAAAAATTCAAATTAATACGCAGGTATAAAAATTGAAAATCATTTTTACAAAAGTAATTGCGACTTCAAACATTTACCAATATTACAAAAATGTAAATTTTATCGTACTTCAGAAATTTCAATTTAAATAGTCAGGATAAAAGAAAATAAGCCTTTTCTCTGAGACATAAATTATATGTTATTTAAATATTCGCTTATAATTGTATACTTTTAATAACTAATAATACTTCAAAAAAATCATAATAATTCTGTTCATCAAATACATTGTATATTAATTGAATATTAATAATTTTCTTTTTTATATGTTTGGCGAAAAATACGCCTGTAAATAAACGTAAATTTATGGATACATAACTGCCTCTTCAAAACAGTCTATTATCACAAAATATCATCAATTTGATTAAATAAGCTATATTTTTCATATAATTTAATGAATACCAGTATAATAAAAAATAATTCGTATATATATATATATATATATATATATATAATTGATTTGAATAAAAGGAAATTGTTCTATATGATATAATCTTCGATGCCAATATTAGAGAAGTGATTTGAATAAAATAATATGTACCTTAAATATGATTTATGATAATGAAAAATTTCTTTCCTTTTATTATAAAAATCTTATCTACTCGTTATAAAATATTATACGTAGATAAATTTTTCAGAAAACGTTTTATATTTGTTATTTACTATTGAAAGTACTTATTTATATTTATGGGAATAAGAATTGTAGAGAGAAAATTAATTTGCTGAATATT